CCCTGACAAAAATAGGTGGAAGCTTGCCATCAACTGTTCTTCTGTGCATTGCGTGCGCTCGCACAATGTATTTGAAGAGAAAATCGGAAACGCTACCGGTGCCGTCATAGGATACCTTACAATCCTGTGGCTTAATGACAATATTAGTGGTGAAATTTGGTCGGTTATTCAAAGCGGCTTGTGTCGGATTGCGTCCGATAAAAGCGAAGTGCCTAGGGCCACTAGGTGCACTTAATGCGTTCATATTTTCCCGCATTGTTCTCATTTCAGCTCTCATTTCTTCTTGCGAAGTACGTAAGAGCTGATGAAGCACTGCTACCCACGAATCTCCTGCGGGCGCTCCGCCATTAGAATGTCTACTCCTATCTTCTGCAATAACTTCACTAAAGCCGGTATTCCCTGGCAAGGACCTATCATTTTCCTGTCTTCCCGAAAGCATTGTCATAGAGGTAGCGGAAACATTCTGGACCGAAGTCCCAGGTGGTGAGGTGTCAAGTAAGTTGGAGTTTTGTCGTTAGCCTTTGCTGCTGTTCCATACAGCGAATCACCTTCAGTTGGGAAATCAAAAAATTTTACTATTAGGGTCGAGACCAGTTCAGATTTAAAATTCTAAAATGTGCATAACCCTTGGCTCCAGCAAAGCTCACTGGAAAATCCCACAAAGTTTCTAAGTGCTTAATAGCTTAAGCCTAATTAAAGGTCCGAAAAAAATTTTAAAAATATATACAATTTATAAGAAAAATCGAGATTAGGCCAAGTGCCGCAGTTACCGAACCCGATCACGACAAAAATAATCAAAAAAAAATAATATCTAACTCTTATTCAGTAGGCGTACTGAATATGAATATACGTACCGAAAAAAAACAATAAAAATATAGATAGTTAGTACATAAGCGTATAAGGGTGTTAGTTAAATATACGTGGTCATATACGTTTAAGCGAAATTCAAGTGGGTATAATTTAATATAATTGGGAAATATGTATTTTCAAAGGTCAATGGGAATTCTGACCCCCTAACATTAAGAAGGCACAAGTCTACGAAGAAAATATAAGGTACAAAGAAAACAAACACAAAAGTCGCTGTTTGGTGGAATGCCCCTCCAGACTTAAAGGGTGTACTGGCCTTCGCGTTAAATTTTGCTGAGCTATCTTTCGGTCTCAGTGCACCCCACCGCAATGCTGCAAAGGGCAGTCACGCATGCCCCCCTGAGACATGTGGGGTGACTGAGGCCCGATAGTCAGTCGTGGTTGGAGTCCCAGCCCACTCCATCGCAATACGAAGGCGCTCAGGAGCGCCAGCGCAGACCTATGGAGTGAGATGGGTTCAAAAGAAAAATGTATATATTTTTTTTTCCAAAAAAAAAAAAAAAACCCCAAAAAAAAACCCAAACAATCGAAAAAATATTCGGCAAAAAAAACTACTACAAAAACTATTTAAACTAAACCCCACTTAGCGGACTATTTTTCCCCCATTCCCATGTTGACATATCGGACCACTGAACAATTTGGAGAAAAACAAAGTCAAACTACAAAAAAACTAAGTGCGTTTAGCACTGCCTCACCGGGTGAATGCAAAACTTCGGAGGACGTGACGTGAAGTCTCAGAGAAGCCTTCGGTTGCTGACCAAGAGGACCGATCCGAACCAGCGCACTCAGCTCCACTCATCCCGCCGCAACGCAGCAAGGAGCAGCAATCACATGCCCCCCTGGGACTTGCGGGATGGTGAAGCCTCATGTGCCAGTCAGGACCAGTAAACCTCACCAGACCTCAGGCTACCCCGTTGGGCGCCATCTGTTATGGTAGATACGCATACATTGGGAGCAGCAGTGAGTGCAGGCGGCATGACACAATGGGGTGCACTGTGGCTAGTCATGTCGGCTAGGCGGCGTTCTTGCCTCACTCCTGTTCCCTGCGCCATAGCAGAGAAAAGTCATGCCTGTCAAACGTCTTAACGGACGGACACATAGCAATTCAAATTTCAAAAATTAAAAAAAAAAATCCGTTAACAAAAAAAGCTGAAAAAGAAACGAACGTTAAATTTAAATATTTGAAATAAACTGAAAAATCCAAATAAAACCAAACCAACCTAAAATTCTGAAATAAAAAGTAATGAACCAAAGCAAAAACCTAAGGCCGAATATAAGGGCGCCACCGATGGTGATGTGACGACCGGTGCTAGCCCTCCCTTTTCCGTGGCTATCAGCGCACTCTAGTATTGACAGCCCCATTATAAAGTCCCTGATGTGCCTTCCTAAATAAAAAGGTTAGTCAGCATTCCCATTTTATATTATAATTTTATTCGCAACAATTCATTTTCCTTATATCTAATTCCTAAAGCTAGTTAATCTAAATCCTAACATAAAAAAGTAAGTATTCTTAAACAGCTAGCGTCTTCTTAAGTCTAGGGTAAGTATCTCAATCGTAAAACTATAATTAAGGTAAGTATTAGTGTAGGTAATTGTGGGCAAGTAGTCTAATCCATTTAAATTTAGGATAAGTTAAGGTATAGGGGTATATCCGGTAAGTATGTCCGGTAGATACGTCAGGTAAGTATGCCAGGTAAGTGAAGAGTAACTAAAGTAGGGTATAGTTAGAGTAAGTCTGGCAGGTGTATTTAAGGTAAGTCAGGCAAATTAAACAGGTGAGTAGGTCTAATAGGTAACTTTAATGTAAGTAAAGTTAACAAGGTAAGTATGGGTAAGTAAACTAAGCCAGGTAGGTAAGCTAAGTTAGCCTAGTTATGGTTTTAATTCGGTTTTTGGTATTTAAAATGTTATCTTTTTATCTTCTATCCTCTCTTTTCTTTTTGTTCATATAGCGTTTCGTTTCCATTTTATATCATCTCACTTTTATTTAATTATTTATAATTTTATTGTATTATGATTGTGGCCATTTCCTTATTATAATTTAGTATTTTATTTAAAATTATCTTAGCTGACCTTTTATTAAGGTGTTACTTTATGTTGTTTTATTTATACATTATTTTCCGTTTTATTTATTTGAGATTGATACTTATTGAGGATTATGTTATTTAAAATGCATCTTATTTTATTTAATTGATTTATTTTATATCTATTTTAGGTCATTGGATTTTATTGATTTTTATTTAATTTAATGTTAGTTAGTTCAATTTAATTTCACTTTAATTTAATTTAATCAAATTTTATTTAAGATTTTATTATTAGTTTTTCTATTTAATCTAAGTTAATCAATCCTAACTTTTATTTCCGCATATACCTATACATGCACACATGAATATACATGCTCACACGTATTCACTCATATATATACATATACAGATAAGGATAAGGCAAAAAATCTCTTTGTTCTATTATTTCATTTCATTTATTATTATAAAGAAAATTAGTACAATAAGATCCCAAAGATCTTTTTTAGGACAACGGTAACTTAAAATTAAGACAAGAATAAGAGTTGAGAATAAAATTCCTTTTTTTCTCTATAATTTTAAGCTTACTTTTACTTTCTTTTTTTTTGCAAATTTCTATTTTTAAAGATTTTGGTGTTTCTTCCTTTTCTTTATTTAGAATTAGGTTGGTTCAAGTAATTTTGCTCTATGCCCTCTTTTTATGGCTTTTCAAACCCCTATCTCTTTTATTCCCTATTTATTTGTATATCCATATATGTATATATATATATATATGTGAGTATAAACTGGTATACGCACGTGCATGTATATGCATATATGATTATTTATATGGGTATATTTACAAATTGGGTTTTTTTGAGTTTCTTATGCACCTATATATATTTATATATATATATTTTTTTTCTCTTCAGATTATTTCATGTCTATCCGATTCAAATCTTATAATCTTATTTGTTTTTTTTTTTAAATGGCGTAGTTATCCTGATTTACGGTTGATTTAAATTTTACTTTGAAAATTTCCCTTACTCATTACATTGTTAGTATTGTAAATATGTATGTTTTTATTTTCTCTGTAAACTTGCTGTTCAATAATCGTGCAAGTAAGCATGATAAAAATATAGTAAGGTAGAACCGCTGAGAGTTACTTTTAAAATTCTTGACATTTCCAAACATTTTAATTTTTAAATTTACTCACAAACTCACACACACATTTTCATTTTCAATCTCAAGCAACAACAATTTCGAACAATTTCGATTTTTTATTTTCAATTTTATATGATTTTAAAATGCTGGCAAACTTCAAAAAAAAATCATGGCCGACAAAATGAGAGAACGGTTCTACCTTGCTATTTTTTTTATCATGAAAGTAAGTATGTATGTATTTTAGGTATACATACATATATACCTGGACATTAAAGTGGTCCAAAAATGTATGTAAAAAAAATAAGGTCGGATTTTTAATGCCGGCACCCCCTAGGATTGTTCTATATCGAAAGAAATATACACCTATTTTTTTATTTTGAAATCAAAAAATATTTAGGCGGTGCTCAAAGCGCTCAAAGTTTTCCATGTATTTTATATGGAGAAAAAACCATTTTTCGTAGAAATGGTATAAAACTCTTAAAAATCAATATTTTTCGATCGGAAAACTTTTCTTATCTTCATGAGATTCCCAGTAATAATACGCAATTGTCTCTTTAACCATTTTTTCATAGTAACTGTATTTTATAGGTCCTCGAAAACCCTAGAAAATGCAATGGAAAAATCTTTAATCATAAAAAATGGTTAAATAAACAATTGGATATTAATACTGGAAGTCTCCTGAAGAGAACCACAGTTTTCCGATTGAAAAATATTGATTTTTAAGAGTTTTATACCATTTCTACGAAAAATGGTTTTTTCTCCATATAAAATACATGGAAAACTTTGAGCGCTTTGAGCACCATCTAAATATTTTTTGATTTCAAAATAAAAAAGTAGGGGTATATTTCTTTCGATATAGAACAATCCTAGGGGGTGCCGGCATTAAAATTTCAACTTAATTTTTTTGGACCACTCTACTAGACATATACCTACGCATATATTTCCTATCTATTCAACTGTATGTGTAGGTTTATTTTATGGCCCGAAAAGACTCACCCTCCGATGCAGCAGGCCTTAGTAGGTTGGCACTGCTGTTGTTGTAACTGGTGGTTGTTGGTGTTGTTGCTGTCGCCGGTTTGCGGTACGTGGATGCCGCGCTGTCGCGGTTAAGGCCACGCTCTGGCGGTGCTGCTGCTGCTGTTGTTGGTGCGCTACTCCGGCACGCGGATATCGCGCTGTCGTGGATAAGGTCGCACTCGGGCGGTGCTGTTGCTACTGCCGCGTGGCGGTGCGATTATGACCGCGCTCTTGTTGTTAGTGGTTAGCGGTACTGGATACCGCGATGCGGCGGTGAAGACCGCGCTCTAGCGCTACTGTTGCTCCCGTCGCTGGTTTGCGGTACGTGGATGCCGCGCTGTCGCGGTTAAGGCCGCGATCTGGCGGTGCTGCTGCTGCTGTTGTTGGTGCGCTACTCCAGCACGCGGATATAGCGCTGTCGTGGTTAAGGTCGCGCTCGGGCGCTACTGTTGCTCTTGTCGCTGGTTGGCGGCACTGGATATCGCGATGCGGCGGTAAAGGCCGCGCTCTGGCGGGGCTGCTGCTACTGCCGCGCTTCGGTTGCGGTTATAGCCGCGCTCTGGCTGTTGCTGTTGCCGCTACTCCGGCAATTGAATACCGCGCGGTGGTGGTCAAGACCGCGCTCTGGCGCTACTGTTGCTCCGCCGCTGGTTGGCGGCACTGGATACCGCGATGCGGCGGTGAAGACCGCGCTCTGGCGGTGCTGCTGCTATTGCCGCGCGGCGGTGCGATTATGACCGTGCTCTTGATGTTGGTGGTTAGCGGTTTCGTATTACTGCGCTATGCCTCCAGATAGTTGATTGTTGCTTAGAGGTTGCTTGGGTTGCCACCCAGAAACTCGCTTCAGATCTCCTCACATGTATTGTGCTTAAATCTGTGAAAAGCAGATAGAATAATTCTCTAGAAATAGATATCTATGTTGTTAAGGCATTCCTGGTGTATCAAACGTGACAAGGCAAAAAAAGAAAGTGGTAAGTTATTACAAAAATACGTACATGTGGAGAAGTCACATCAAGATATCTATTTCTTAACGTGTGGATTAAATAAGGTTCCCATCAAACCATTAGCGTTCATTTTACTTACGAACTATGTGTTTCCAATGGTGTTCTTTTGTTTGTTTCCAAACAGAATAATGGCATCAGAGCCTAAAATGGACTTTAACATTCTATTAGCTACCTATGAGAAAAGCGCCATGAACTAAATATTTATAGTTCATCTCAAATTGGTAACCTAGTCCAATAACTCAGTGAAGCGGGTGTCATCGTTTTCCAACCCATCGCTCTTGGAAATTGTCAATTTTCTATGTAAATTATATACTTGTCAGCTTAATGGTTAAAGAAAAATTACTAGAAGTTTGAGCAAAACGAATTGAAACGTCCTACCCGTCACTTTGGAATGTCCCCATAAGTTGGTTTTGATCAAATATTGTAGTTACCAATAAGTAACAACATAAATGACCAGGTCATAAATGCACAATTTTTGTTTGACTAATAACGCTTATTACCACGAACGAATAGTTGATCTTAATAAGGTATACGAATAACCGTAGCTTTGCAACTACTCGAATAATCAAAGGGAACTAACTATTCGAACAATTTCAAGAGCCATAGTATCTACCCACGTGCACTTGAATTTTTCCTTATGGACTTAGGAAGGAGTAAAAGTCAATCCTCATCTTAAATGAGGGAAAGAAATCACTTGTGAACGTGCACAAGTCAGAGTAAGGTGAACTTAGGACCACCAATTCTCCTTAGCTAGCGCGATAGCCTTTTTTCTTTTTCACTCACCTGGGCTTCCCTTCGCTGCTTCCTCTATGCCGCTGCACTTTTCGGGTGGATGTCTTTCTTCTTACTGCTTTCCACTGGTTAATCCGCGAAACGCACGCACAAATCCTCTGGCGTCTGGGGTTTCACTCTATTCAATTTAAGCTCTTTTTTTTATTGGTTTTCTCACTTTAAAATTTTTATGCACGCTGATCGTCACCATGATACAATAATTTTTAGAAGATAGTTTCACTTCTTCTTCTTATCCGCCATGTTAGCTATCTGACAGAAAACGTGTTTCGTATTTTTTGTTGTACCAACTTTTTCAAAAACAAAAATCCAGCTTTTGACGTTGGAAAAATAAAACAATGAAAAGCCAAACATATAAGTAGAGAAATTTTCGAATATTTTGTAATAATTTTCTTAAAAAAAAATTAACTGCTGCTTTCGTGGATATTGCAACACACGGAATAGATGTAAGGACACAGCTATAAGAGCCACCGCACACCACAGACTTTATCGGCCGCCTATTTAAATGTTAGGGCTCGCTTGAAATATGTACATGAAGATGTATGGAGGTGCGCACATTACACCAGCTTAATCGCTCTGACCAATAAGTTGTGGTGCAATGGAAAGACTAGCGCGCACGTCTAAATTGGCGGCCGATAAAGTCCGTGGTGTGCGATGGATCTAATCCATTATAAACAAGAAATATTGCTGTTATATTTTCATTTTTATGATTTTTATTCATGTGATTAGCAGTGGCAAAAATGTATGTATAAAATACGTATATTTATATTAAAGATTAAGTGATCAGTTATGAAACATATAAATCTTTACATGTTCTGTTAAAAAATATCTAAAATAACAAGCGATAATCCCCAAGTTCTATATCGTAGCAGTGGCCACATTGCGTGTTTGTCACAGACACGGTTTATGTCAAAAATTTTGAAGTGAAACTACCTTATAAAAATTATTGTATCATGATCGTCACCATGATAAAAATATAGTAAGATAGAACCGCTGAGAGTCACTTTTAAAATTCTTGACGTTTCCAAACAATTTAATTTTTAAATTTACTCACAAACTCACACACACATTTTCATTTTCAATCTCAAGCAACAACAATTTCGAACAATTTCAATTTTTTATTTTCACTTTTATATGATTTTAAAATGTTGGCAAACTTTAAAAATAATCATGGCCAACAAATTGAGAGAACGGTTCTACCTTGCTATGTTTTTATCATGATCGTCACTACTTTAGTTCGTATGTCAAAAATCGAATGCCCGATTGCAGAGTTGCCAGTGGGTTTTATAATCTTGCACTGCGGGAATATTCCATTTGGAAGAATAACGGGCACTGCGCCATTTGAACTAGTTCCGTTACTCTTCCAAATGGAATTTGCCGCAGTGCAAGGAGGAATATCAAAAAAATCCGTGGTTGCCGTGACTCCTCTGCAAGTAGTTTTCCCGCACTTAACCGCAAAAAAAAATCTTTGAAAATTGCTAGTTAACATATTTGACAGTTTCGTGGTGAATACAAACGTCAGAATTTTATCTAGCTCATGTGCTAGGTTAAATTTTGACAGCCTCTAAGTGTAATCAGCCTTATCATGAGTTTCATATTTTTCCGAACCGGTTCACTTTTCAACTTTTGGTTTCCATGTATTTACTATTGGCGGATGAACAATTTTCGGGCGAAACTCAGGATAAGGCTGAATAAAAAATTAAAATCGAAATGGAATGGATAAAAGAAAAGAACGTACGTTACTTGCAAGTTATAAAATAGATGTAAATTTAACAATTTCAGCAACACCCAAATTAGAGCTTCTGCACGAGCGTTTGTGTGGTTTTTCCTAACTGTCAAAATTTTTCTTTGCGGTCGGCCCAGCAAAACTCAATTGCCGCCAGAATGTTTTAGTATAAGGTATCGCTTCTTAGTAAAATGCACCATTGGATTTCGAAGTAAGAAAAATATGACAGTTTACAAAAAAGTAGGCAAACAGACCTGCAGGAACTAGTGACAATCAGCGACAACTGTCCGCAAGGAACACAGCTATCGTCAAAATGGCAGACCTTTCATGCGGTTTTAGCGTTGCCGTACGCTCTAGAAAAATATGAGATGGTGAAATTTCTGACATGCTACCGGGTGCGCTATACACCGAAGAATAATGTATTTATATTTTGTGCGGCGAACAGTAACCCATAACAACATATTTATATCACTAATATTTCAGTAAGGATGGAATACGACCAAAAAATAAAAAATTACTGAAAAACGTTTTTGAGTGCGTTGCGGAAGCCGTCGCAATGGATTCGGAAGATTGCGATAAGGCTGACGTGCTAACAAGTTCTACGTAGGATTTTAGTCACTAAATTCAATACTAAATAGGAAGTTATTTTGCAGGACTATTTGGTATGTGCCAAAAAATAATATCTACGCCTGTACCGAAGAAACGAAAGGCGATGTGGGTAAAGGTATGGACGGAAAAAAAGCCGAGTATGAAACTTTCGTATTCTTAACAAAAGATCTATTGCTCCATGACACATGGGGCTACAAAAACATTTGCGGATGACCGAATCGTAGTTTAATCCTCTGCTTTCATACACAGAGCAAGATTTGGTGAAGCAGGATACGCAAATGCGAAATGCAATTACGCCTGCATAAAAGCTAAGTTTGACGTTGCGATTTCTTGCCACTGGTAAACTATAATAGGGCATCATGATCCCTTAGTATGTAAGTATTTAATATCCATATAAGCGAATCACTTTTACAGGAGAAATATATCAAAGCTTAAGTTTTTATTCGAAATTGTCAAAATCGGCAATAAGTGGCATAATCCCGGTAGTGTGTGACTCTATTTGGTGTACACTAAAAGGCTTATATATGAAGGTATCAATTTTAATAAAATATTTTCGTATGTATCCCAGAATCAATTTTTGTATACTTTGTTTCCCAACAGTCCTTCTGAATGGGAGTCCAAAGCATACGAATTTCCTATTAAATGGCAATTCCCAAATAGCATCGGTGCTTTCGATGGCAAGCACATCAACTTTCGACCGCGTCGCAAAGATGGATCATTCTACCATAATTATAAAGGAACGAACAGAATTGTTTTATTAGTGCTCTTCGATGCGAACTGTACATTCATTTTTGTCGACATCGGATGCAATGGGCGCAATAACGATACGGGAGTATTGTCGAAGCAGAACTGGATGCATTAGCTATATAAACAAGATAAAAATTTAAATATGAAATGTATTTGAATACAAACAAGCATGTACATATACATATTTACATATATTATATTTAATTAATTAATTAATTAATCCTAACGGCTTTTTACCCTCCATTCCCGCCCAACCGACACGAGGGGCGCAGTCCGCATGACGTACGGAACTATTTTTTTGTGTTTTTTGGTGCCGAGTAGTGTAAAGAGGAGTTTGTTAAATGTCGATATCTAAGGCTATTCAGCTACAGAATCAAATTCATCAGCTGATTGGATATGCTAAAGATAGTATTTCAATTATTGAGAGTGGAAATGATAGTTTTCTTTACGGTAAAAACCCAGTTCGATATATCAAACGTGCTGGAATGAGAGTTAAAATCTTGACAAGAGGTCGAAAGTGTCTTGACACTCGAGAGGGAACATTAAAATTTACCTCAGCCATGAGGACCGGGCTATTAATCAAGCCCGTCATTAATTTTACGAAAAATATTACACCTAGCATTTCTCTACGACTTGCGAGTGTAGGCAAATTTATGAGCTTTAGACGACTTGTGTAATATATATTTACTTTTCGCTCTACTTACCTTTCTCGCTTTTACTTCTTCATGCTTATCATCTCCTATACTTGTATATACTTACATTTGCACATTTACTGTCACTACATAAGTTGCGTTCGATAACAAAATTAGCCAACACCAGCCAACAATCAAAATCAAGAGAGTAAGCGAAAATTCTCTCCCAAAGAGATGAAAAAGCAAAAAAGTAAACGAACAGGAAATTAGCCATTACTTGCAAAAACCGGAAGAAGAAGACACACCAGCTGACTTTGTTTATGTTTTATTTGTAAACAAACTGAAATTCATGTTGCCTCCATAGAAGAACAAAGGAAAGTGAACGTTCAATGTTCGTCAGGAACATTTCTAGAAGCAACAAGTAAGAAAGTCTAAGTTCGGGCGGGGCCGAACATTAAATACCCGGCGCAAGTATTAAATATATGTTTTTTCACCCTTCCGAAACTTTCCGCTAGATGGTAAGCCGAGGTGTATCAATTTTGAGTAAATTAGCGTCCTTCAATTTCGAAATATTGAAGTTTCAAGCATTTCTTAAATTTACCGTTATATGAGAATCGGCCGTTATTTTAGTCCGATTTCAATAATTTTCAACGTTTTGCTTACACGTGGCAAGTACAATAACCATACCGAGTTTGGTACAAATTGGTAGAACGGTTACCGGTATACTTATATGTGATCATAAGTGGGCGGTGCCACGCCCATTTTCCAAAATTTTACCATAAACGTATTTCTTGGTAAAGAATTGTTGCAAGCATCAATTTTGAATAAATTAGCTTCAATATTTAATGATTTATCGAAGATTTTGTATTTCTCTAAATTACCGTTATATGGGATGTGGGCGTGGTTATTGTCCGCTTTTAAAAGGTTTCGGCGGTTTTTTATGCTGTACCAATGCCAACAACTGTGCCAAGTTTGGAAGAAATTGGTGCAGCGGTTACCAAGATATACACATGTAACCATAAGTGGGCGTGGCTACGCCCATTTTCCAAAAATTTATAATATTCTTATTTTTCGTCTAAAACTTATTATAAATATCAATTTTGAGTGAATAATCTCCAGTAGTTACTAAAATATCGCAGTTTTCGTATTTCTGGAAATTACCGTTATATGGGAAGTGGGCGTGGTTAAAGTCCGATTTCGCCCATTTTCAATACCAACCTACCTTGGATTAAGGGAAACCTACATACCAAATTTCGTCGAGATATCTCAATTTTTGCTCGAGTTATCGTGTACACGGACGGACGGACAGACGGACAGACGGACGGACAGACAGACATGGCTTAATCGATTTCTTTTTTCATCCTGATCATTTATGTATACATTTGTCTATATCTATCTCGATTCGTTTTGGCTGTTACAAACAACCGTTATGTGAACAAAATTAATATACCCTTGTGCACAAGTGCGCTCGGGTATAAAAACTAGT